ATCTCAGGTAAAATTAAAATGCCTAACACACTACATATCTAATCCTTGCTAGTTAGAGGGATACATGTTAATTGATCATTCTAAAAAGATTTTAATCGTTTCGTGCCATAAGTTTAGACACCTATTCTAAATTAGATTTTGCTAGTAAAATTGTTTATGATGTGAGATTCAATATTTGGTATTAGAATACTGGTAATGTTCCTTGCAAGGATGTAAGAATTTAACATTTAGTATAAGTATAATTTCGAATTAGCATCTGCTTGGTGATATTTAAAAGAAAATACAAGTGAAAATAAGAAAACAAGATGAATGCTGACGAAATAACTTAAAATAATCGATATAGAAACAGACAAGAAAAAATGACGATGAAATTGCTATGAAATACTACTCCTATAATATAGTTTATTTGTCTTGGAACTTGGGTCCTTGACCGATACTACGGTTATCCTTAAACCGCTGTACCCCCAAAATAAATGTGTAAAATTCATATTTGGAGAAAAAAATTTAAAATAGTCCCTTAAGTTTGGACTTTGGATCAGAATCATCTTGATTTTTTAACCTTAAGCACTGATAGTCCTCCAACTCTATAAAATCAGTGTAGAATTCATCCAACTCTGACTAGTCTGCTAAAAATGAATGTGTGACAGACACAAACTTATACATGAAAAAAATCTAAGTCAATATTACGAAAATACTACATACTTCTAATATATATAAAAAATAGTTTGTGGAAGTAGCTTGTTAAAAGTCAATATTTTTTTTTTTATTTTAATGCAAAATACCGTTTAATTTTATCATTATCTTTCAAAGACGTTTTAGCATATTTTTGGGAATGAAACATGCTTTGTACTTGGGGTGTCACGTTATTTCTTACCATTATATATATATTGACATTAGAATTCTACCATTTCACATAGTTAGAACGCTGATAATATATCTATCTATATTATTATAAAAGCACGAATAATTTTTGCTAAATGTTGGATGACTAAAATATCCTCGAAACTTTGATAGACTTTTATGCCCTTAAAAATTCGAGTTAGATGTGGATGTAATTATAATATTCCAAATATATTACCCAAGAATGAAATTCTTTCTAGATTAGAACTCCACATATACGGACATCAAATTCCCACTCTATCAATACCTAGAACTTTTAATACAACTATAAATTGGTAAAGCTGAAAATATTTATGAATTTGGATAAAGTTACTATACTTTTCATTACGAAAAACAATCTGCATAAAAACTAATATTAAATATTATTTTTATTCTTTAACAGATTTATAAATTTATTTGTATCATTGTGTAATTCTAAACTGTTTAGTTCCATTCTGTTATTTGATTATCACAACGCTATTAATTATGATTTGGTTTGCCTTACATATATATAAAACCTCTATTTTAAGCAACTCATATTCTAAATTTAACAATTATTTATGGTACGTGTTTATAATTTTTGACACAAGATATTCGTACAGCGCACGAGTATAGAGACTAATATATTATTATAAAAGCATGAATAAAATGTTGGATTACAAAAAGAACCTTTTAATATTAAGCATAATAACTCACAGTAAAAGGACGTAATCAGAATTCTAGATATTAGCCTTGTAATCATATTAGTTTTAGGACATAATGCTAAACGTTAGGAATCCTATTAGTATAATTATTTTCGGGCATTATATATATAATACTACAAGTTAGCATGTAAACCTAATATCTTTAGGAACATGTTAGATTTTCTATTAGTTCACAAAAGGAGACGAAAATATTTTATGTTAGTATTGATAATCACAAAATTACATAATAATTATGAAATATATAGACTATTTCGGTAAACAGAAGAAAATTAGAGTTCTAATAGATTCTACCTTTGTATTTTAGTTTCAAAATAAAGAGCGGCTACATATTATTATTTGTTCAGGAATTAATTGTATTAAGCATTAGTTACAACGCCAATTAAATTGTTTGCTTCTTATTTTTTTACACTAATTACAACTATTTGCATTAGTTTTATTAGTTTCTTCAGTTAACTGCATTTCTTAAAGCAAAAGTTTTGATTAATCTATAATCTAGCTATAAACTCTCTGAATAGATGTGATGGCGAGATTATGTAAATAGGTTTGATCTAAAATATTATTTTCGACTATGTTTGTAATCCATACATATATTGTACGGTAAAAAGTCCTCAAAAAAGTTCTATAATTGCAGCTATATGTTCATATATATTGGAAGAATTCATGAAAAGGTGCAAATCGATAGAGCATGGAAGTAGTTATACAAAAGTGAGATATATCATATATGGATGTTGTATATTGAAGTGAGAGCACATATTACTTAATTGTATTAAATAATAAATATATGTTTAAATCACATAAATCTTGTATTCATTCTTTAGATATAAATATTGAGTTCTAATAAATCTAGCGTTAAAAGTTTGCAAGTCGTATTAGCTCGATATTTTTTTTATAAAAAGTTTGCTTTAGATGTTAGGATATTATTTGGAAGGATTCTCTTGTATACTAATTTTACTATACAAAAAAATATTTCAGGAGATAGCTAGGAGTTGATACCTCGAAAATCGTAGTTTTCTTTAGTCAAAAGACAGAAAGGCATAATCCTGAAATTCATTAAATTTTAGACTCTTTAAAAAAATTAAATGATTCTTTCAAACAAGTAATTCATATCGGATAGAAATAGTGATTCACAATTTAATTTGTTGAAACTTCGACTATAAATCAAGCTCTAAGGTCGACTATAAATCAAGCTCTAAGGTGTACTGATTACTATCTCATATACTAATATTAGGACTTTGAAACAAAATTAGTAACTTATTTTACTTATAAAAGAATTTCTTATGGGAACAATAATAAAGTTTTGAGATTTTAAAAGCAAATCACTAAATCAATGTTTAAACTAAAAACTTAAATACAAATTATCAACACTGAAATAATTTTAACAATAACCAATCACTAACTTTTAATTTTCACCAAAGACAAGAAGTTCAAGTTTCCAAAATTGAAAAACTATGATGTTCTAGGTGTGTTCTTGGCGAAGAAAAATAATTGCAGCACATATAACTCAAGAAGACTATTTTCGCAATAAAGTAAACGAATGGATAATATCTATAGACTAATCCTTTAAGGGACGATGGATGCCATAAAACCATCGAATTCACAATAGTCCTATTTTATGATATATATTTATGCTACGCCGAACCGTCTGGACGAACTCACCAAAATCATTAGGTGCAAGAATCAACAAAAGCAAATTGCTATTTGAATCTTCAGTAAGCTACTATCAATTCTATATGCTTTCCTCTTTAATTTAGGTTGTGGAGTTCTGAGTTGTTAGAGATTTTTGAATTTCTTGGAAGCCAACTCTACAAGACTATATGGTTTTAATAAGTTTTTACTCTTTTTAGAGAAAAAAATATATGTTCTTCTCAGTCTATAGTTTGCAGCTATATTTGTGCATTTAGTGACAGATCTAGCTAAAGATAAGGAAGGGATTCATTCGGTTAGAAATACGGCAAAGTATTGTGAATGGTGATACCTAATATGGAAGATTATTTGTAATAAGTTATAGGTACTTTTGAAGCAAGTGTAAATTAAAAAGTGATAGGTCATTCAAATTTCATAAAATAATTAATTAACTCACGGGATTTAGCATTATAGGGCTACTTTGTAACTGCTATGTTACCTCAAAATCAAAGTGAGATTAATTTGTGAAATACGTCCATAGATGAAGGATGAACAATGTAAGAGTTACCATCCTCCGGTATGTAATAATAAATTAATGTAACAAAATGATGTACAATTGTACATTGTTTATAGGGGAAGAAGTGATGGGAAAATTACAAATGTTCCTCAGCATGAAAATGAGTAACCAAATGAGTTGAGCCATATAATCCTTCTTTACTAACTAGATACAATTGCAACTTTAATACAGAAACTTGCTCCAGGAGTATAAAAATAGTAAAGTATCTATACAATTTATACAAAGGCCATAATAGTTGTGTTCTTTATATCCTGTTAGATGAGGAAAATGGGAGTTTAAGTAATCGTACAAAGATTTTAGATTTTAGGGGTACATGATACTGCTGCCTGGAATGAAGCAGCTATAGCAAAGTATGTCTGGAACATAGCAGCCAAAACAGATAATATGTGGGTCAGATGGGTAAATCATATTTACTTAAAAGGGAGAGACTGGTGGCAGTACAAACCTCCTATAGATTGTAGCTGGTACTGGAGGAAAATTTGTACAATAAGAGATAAGTTTGTTGATGGATACACACAGAATCACTCGCTAACTACTAGTGGAGTTTATACGCTAAGTAGTGGCTATAGCTGGAAGAAAGGGGCTATGGAGGACTGGCCTTGGCGAGGGTGGGTATGGAATAAGATGAACATGCCTAAACAGAGCCTAATCTGTTGGTTAGTAGCACATAACAAACTCTTGACGAAAGATAGACTGAAACATATGAGAATTAGCAAAGACGGCTTATGTGAGATATGTGGAGCTGCAGAAGAAACAATTGCTCATTTGTTCTTTGAATGTCCACTTGCAAGGAGGTGCATGGAAGACACTCTGAGATGGTTAAACATAGACATCAGGAATATGGAGCTGCGAGGGTTAGGCAGAAGAATAACTAGACAAGTTAAAGGGAAAATATGCAGGGCAATTGTGTTGGCCATACTAGCAGCTGTAGTTTATAACATATGGAGAGCAAGGAACTTGGCACTCTGGGAACATAAGGTGATACGACCTGGGAAGCTATGCAGTCAGATAAAGCAAGATTGCAACCATAAAGCACTTGAAGCATTGAGGAGAAGACGCACAAGCAGAGAGAAAGATTGGATAGAAAAACTTTATAGAGAAAATGTATAGTTGAGGATTGTATATAAGTGATAGAAGGGACAATTAGAGAAGTCTAATTGCAGCAAAAAGGTCTCAGACAAGGTGATCCAATGTCACCCTTCCTATTTGCTATAGCCATGGAATACTTCAGTAGGCTACTGAAAGAACTGAAGGACAAGAAACAATTCAGCTTCCACCCAAAGTGCAAAAAACTAGGCATTACTCACTTGAGTTTTGCAGATGACCTGTTATTATTTGCTAAGGGGGATAAGCAGTCTGTGACAATGCTGAAACAATGCTTTGAGGTTTTCTCTGCAGCCTCAGGTCTCCAAGCTAATCTAAGTAAAAGCTCAGTTTGCTTTGGTGGGGTAACAGACACAGAACAGGAAGACATCTTGCAGCAGTTGGACTATATAAGAGGTGAATAAGAGGTGAATTACATTTCAAATACCTAGGATTCCCTCTAACTACTAGGAAAATGAAGGTAATTCAATGGCAACCCTTGATTGAAAAGATTGTAGCAAGAATTTCATCCTGGACTGCAAAGAAATTATCATATGCAGGAAGAATCCAACTTATAAAAGCTGTACTGTTTGGTATCCAATCCTATTGGTCCCAAATGTTCTTGATTCCAACCAAGGTGATCAAAACTATTGAAGCCTATTGTAGGAGTTTTATGTGGTTAGGGACAAATGAAATAACCAAACGAGCACTGATCTCCTGGGAGAGAGTATGCAGACCAAAGAGTGCTGGGGGCTTAAATATCATAAACCTGAAACAATGGAACAAAGCAGCTATTCTCAAACTACAATGGGACCTAGCTTCAAAAAATGATAGATTGTGGATCAAATGGGTGCATATGTACTATATAAAAGGGCAGCCTATATTGAGTATCAAGGAGCCAAAACAAGCTAGCTGGATGGTTCAAAAAATTCTGACTATCAAAGGGCCAAATCTTCAGAATAGAAACCAAGGGAGCAAAGGCAGTATCATCAGGCAGATATACTTACATCAACTGGGAATATTAGACAAGGTAGAGTGGAAAGCAGTCATGTTCAACAACTTAGCTAGACCCAAAGCTATATTTTCTATGTGGCTGATCATACAAGAAAGGATGCTAACGGCTGACAGACTGAGCAAATGGAACATGAACGTGGATACTACTTGTGTATTCTGTAAATGTCAACCAGAGCACCATCATCATCTGTTCTATAATTGTTCTATTGTCATGGAACTATGGTATGACATATTCAAATGGCTACAAATTCCGGTTCCAGCTACTACATGGAACCAGTTACTATGTTGGTTCATGGGGAAAGCAAAGAAGAAAACAACTGAAGGGCAACTGATGAGAATGGTTCTAGCTGAAACAGTGTATAGCATATGGGTGGAAAGAAATCATAGAGTTTTTGAGAAGATGTATAGAGATAGGCAAAGCATTGTGAGAGAAATTATCTACATTTGTAATATTAGAGCTGTAGGTAAACTCAAGGATGTCCTACAATACAAGTTTGTATAGGAAGGGGGAAAATAGAAGTCTACCATGTAAACTAGGCAAATAGGAATAAGGAGTATAGAAGGAATAAGAAGTAATGATTGATACTGGCCGAGTTAGCCATATATTCATGTAATTTGTTGTCTTGAATTAATAATATTTGAATTACCAAAAAAAAAAAAGAGAAGTCTAATTGTATTTCTGAGATGTAAGTTTTGATAAGTGATAAATAAAATCTTTTTTGTTCGACCCAAAAAAAAAAAAAAAGATTTTAGCAAAATATGTGACACATGCATATTGAACCAATATGGCTCCAAACATGTGTATTCCAATAATTCAACTTTCTACTCTAAAAAGTGGATATCCTTTTATATTTATTTGAAAATAAGTATATTTGTTTTTTCAACAACAAATACTCATACGATTCTCAATGTAGTATACTTGCGGCGACATGTTTTCTATCCGAACAACTTTATGTTGCATTTTCAAGAGGTATATCAATATTGAGAATAGAGTATTAAACATGAAACGGTAACTACAACAACAGAAGCATTTAACTAACTTAATTAATTTATTTTTGCAAGTTTAAACATTATTTAATCATTTCAAATTTAAGTATTACGTTGACTAAAGATATACGTGCAACGCACGTACATAGAAACTAGTTAATCTTCAAATAAGAATAAGAACGATCCGAATCAGGACATATTATATTCGACGATGAAGCCTTTTTGATTTGTTATGGGAATGAAATATTCTTTGCAAGTGAACAACTAATATGCTAATATTTGCGCCTCAATTAAAGCCAAAGTATTACAATTTAATATGGTTGAAACGCTAAAATTCTTTTAAGAATAAAGACAATGGAATCATGGCAATAGCGTATTAGATGGTCAAACCTTTTTTGTCGGAATAAAAACATTAGTTACACGTCGACAATACGTTAATTTTTACAATTCAATTAAGACAAATTATAAAATTCAATTTTAAAATTCTAAAAAGTGTTATTGACTCGTGTCTAGAAAAATCAATATTTCAAGACAAAGCCGCATTTAAACTTTGTCATTTTCTTCAAAGATGTCATATTGCGTTTCTTAAATTAGGATAGAAAATACAGAGAGACGAAGATTCGCCCTTTTTTTTTCTTCTAAAAATGAAATTATATGTTTTGCACGTGGGCGATTTCTGCTAACTTTTAAGTCTATTAAATTAGAACATAAGATATACAGAGAGGAAAAACGTTATCTATTTTTTTTTGTTTTTGTTTTAGGAATGCAACATACTTTGCCAATTTTCACAAACTTTTATAGGTTAATTAGAGTTAGATTAAAAGTTCTCCAAGTTTATATAATTAAAATACTATTAATCTTTCTCGAGATAAAAAAAAAAGACAAAGATGAGTTTAAAATCAAAACTCAAACTTAAGGGGCTATTTTGGGTCCTTTCTCCCCATAATATTTATTCACAAGTCCTTTTCATGTTTCCCCTTTGCTTTATATCCTTTTCAATATCTTTTTGTTCAATCCTCAATCCGCAAATTGACAATTACCTCGTAATTCAAGGACAAAGGTTGTTATTCATATTCAGATCCACTTTTGTCTTTTCCCATAATTACAACATACTTCTGTGCCCTCCCACGTGTAATAAACACCCAATCTCCTCGGTGCCCCGATACTAGACCCGAAACCAACCCGAAAAGAACCGGCTGGGAATTTTTAATTACTATAAATAGACACGAGAAGGGAACTCGTGTATGTACTCGTGCTTGGATTCGTGGAAAAAAGCAGCAAAGCAAAGGCGTGTTATGTAATGGCGAGATCGCGTTGGAAATTGCTCTCTTCTTCTTCATCAATTTCCTCTCTCTAGTAATCTCACCGTTTCCTAACCCTAAACCACAGCCTCCGCCGCCTATCGCCGCCGACGAAATAACACCAACAGGTTCAATTTCGATATTCCGTTTATCGCAGTAATAGCCGGCATTATAATATCGTTATAATGTGTGTGATTTTGTTGATTTTTTCGATATAAGGTGGAATTGATGATCGGTAATGTTACGGAGACAATTAACAATTTAGTATGCATGTTGATCTTTAGATTGTTTAATTTATTTGCTTGGAGATTAAGTTTTTCGGTTTTTGTTTTTACTGTTGTTGCAGAAAATGGCTAATACAGAGGTGACAAAGCTATTGTATATAGTGGTAGGAGAGCCAGAGAAAGACTCTTTTAGATATACGCGTTCTGTTCTGCAGAGTACTCTTCAACTTATGGGATGTAAACCTCGACATGCCTTTAAGGTACTACTAATTATTTCTTCTCGTTTTTGATGATTTATTATATGGATAACTCAATATTTGAAAAAAGTACCTAATTTTGGAAAAAAAGTGCCAGTTGTTATGATCCGATTTACTGTTGAACATGCTCATTGATAATTGTTGCTCAGTAATTGTGCATATGGTGAAAGCATAGTTGGAATGTTAACAGTTTTTTTCCCTCAATTCTGTGACTGCCAATAACTCACTGATCAGTTATGATTAGAAATTTTGACGAAGAGGTATTTCTGGTTTATCTTCAAGATTGAAGTTTGACAGTTAGATTAATGAAGTTTGACAGTTAGATTAATGAAGTATGGCAGTTAGATTATGAAGTATGACTGTTAGATTAACGACCAACAATATTAAGCCGTTGTCTTCTTAAAGTTGAATTTTTTTCCTTAGCTAGATTAGTGAAGTATGACAGATTAACAACCGACAATTTTTCTTTGTCGTCTTCATAAAGTTGAACTTTTCCCCCGAGTTAGATTAATGAAGTATGACAGTTAGATTAACGACCGACAAGACGTTTTCGTCGTCTTCGAAAAGCTTATTTCTTTTTCCCTTAAGATTGTGTTTTGGTAGAGAATTAAATTAATGCCCTTTTGTTTTAAGCTCACACGTAATGTGTTCCTGATTATATGCTTGAGGAAGTTTCATTTTAACTTTTTTCTATCTGCTTAAAAAGACAATGAGTCTCATGTAAGATTCTTCTTTTAAGGATTGGCAAGAATGAAAGTCTTAACCCTGCTGATGAGAGTATCCCTCATAAGATTCCAAAAGTCCATTATCTGCTGTTCTTTAGATGATCTTTTGCATTTGTGACTTCGAATTTCGCGTAAAGTATATAAAATTTAGGCACTTCTATTACTGAATCTTATTTTGCATGAACAGATTAGCAGGACAGTTTTTGATAAGATGAGAAGTGAATGCATGGGCGATAAGTTGGTATCAGCAGATAGAGTGCAGGCGGGACAGGATAACTTGAAAGGCCTTCATCATAAAGAGTCTAGTGCCTTTATCGATGCATTCTTGGATAAAGGGGACAATCGAAGTGAGAGTAAACCATTTGAGTTGTACAAAAGGCGCACAACAGTGGTTGTCAAGAGAGAAACGTTTTTAGATGTTGTTTGTGATGCTCTAACCGAATACAAGTATATGGGCCCCAACCAGAGGGCTGACTTAACTTTAGCTTGCAGGTAAGTTCCTGCAGTCTCTGTTAATATTACTAGGTGTATTTTGCTATGAGTACAACCCCCCCCCCCTACCCCCCCCCCCCCGGGATGGGTATGAGAATTGTAGTTTTGTAGCCCAGTTACCAATTAAATGCAAGTTCTGGGCTTCAAATCCTCCTTTTCCCCTAAAGGATATGGTGATGTCTTCAATAGTATGCAACCGTTTGAAAACGCAAAAAAGATCTTCTCTCAGATGTTGATCATTCTTTGGCCCAACTAAAAAGAATATTTGCAGAATCTCTAAGGTGTTAGATAAGCAAAGTAAAAGTTTCCTTTTTGATGGTGTATATATTTGAATGGGTGACTGATATGATATTTCTGTTTTCCGTTAGCGGGACCATGATGTATTTATTGGTTAATTTAACAAGTATGAGATGAGTCTGCCATTTCTCATCAGAGGTCACTGACAGGCTTTGCTAGTAATTTTCTCATCTCCTCAAAATGAATTGATGTCTGAATTAGTAAAAATGTCACTGAAATGCTGGTTTTTACTGTCTATGACTTAATAAGAAATGCATTAAGATCTATCTCCTTGGTAGAAATACATCCTTCATTTACAAATTGTGGGAGTAATCGTTGCCTTTGGAGGTTTCCTGAATCACTTTTTAATCACAATTCAATCAGCGTACTTGTGGATTGTGTTAATCAAGTTTATTCCTTAGTATTTTAAACTAATACGTGTTTCTCTGGCGCCAATGTCATTTGTCTTTATTTTTTCTGTTTCATGTATCTGTGGTTACTTATATTTTAGTGTCACTTGTTAAATTAGGGGAATAATGGCCCTACCCATTTGTCGTTGATTGATATAGGAAGCTGATGATGTGCACATGTGCTGATATTTATCTTCAGTGTACCTTGTTCTGTATTTTCTTCACAAATTCGTTTGGTATGTTTCAGGATCCGAGAGAGAAAAGAATCTGTAACCGTGCTATTGTGTGGGACTAGTGGCTGTGGCAAATCTACCTTGTCTGCTTTGCTGGTATAGATTCTCTCATAGCCTTAGCTGATGTACTAACCTCCTAATTTTGGCATGTCATTTACTCCCTGGGTCCCATTTATGTGGCTCAATTTGAATTGATACATTGATATTGATCTGACCTATGTATTATACGAGTGGTAATGGAAGAAAATATTTAAGTAATAGTGGACTTTTTAGTTTGATTAGGAAAATATCATATCAAAGGATCAAATTTGATTTAATTTAAATGAATTTGAATTCTTGAAATTTGTGAAAGCATGATAAAATAAGTACATATCTTTGGTGGAATGATGTTAAAACATTATAATATCTCCTGAAATGGAAGATTGTCATATATACTGGGACATGAGGTGTGTATGATTTCCTTCTCGAATTGTGTTTACAGGGAAGCAGGTTGGGCATAACAACTGTTGTGTCCACCGACTCCATTCGACATATGATGAGGAGTTTTGTAGATGAAAAGCAAAACCCTTTGCTTTGGGCCTCAACCTACCATGCTGGGGAATATTTGGATCAAGTAGCTGTTTCTGAAGCAAAAGTGAAAAAAAGGGCAAAGAAGTTAGCTGGCATTTCAACCCCTCCAATACAAAAAGGTGTAAATGGTCCAACTAATGGAAAATCTCCGCCTGTTGGGATTTCAAGTGCTGTTGATTTGATTAGTGCCAGAGAAATGGCAGTTGAAGGATTTAAGGCACAGAGTGAGATGGTAATTGATAGTCTTGATAGGCTAATCACTGCCTGGGAAGAGCGGAAAGAATCAGTTGTCGTGGAGGGTGTTCATTTGAGCCTTAATTTTGTGGTAAGAATTAATTTTAAAGAATGTGTATATCGCTTTTTATCTGGAGGGGTCTTTCCAGTGGTGATTAACTTGGTTCTAATGTTTTCTTTTACCTGCAGATGGGACTAATGAAGAAGCACCCCTCAGTCATACCTTTTATGGTTTACATTGCAAATGAAGAAAAACATTTAGAGAGGTTTGCAGTACGTGCAAAGTACATGACACTTGATCCTGCTAAAAACAAGTATGTTAAATATATTCGGAACATCCGGACAATACAAGAATATCTCTGTAACCGAGCCGACAAACATTTGGTGCCAAAGATTAACAACACCAATGTTGATAAGAGTGTAGCAGCCATTCATGCCACTGTATTCGGCTGCTTAAGGAGGCGTGAGACAGGAGAGCAATTGTATGATCCAGTCACAAATACTGTTGCACTCATTGATGAGGAATACAGGAACCAGTGTGCTGCCAATTGTGTGAGCTCTAAGGGAATGTTTCAACTGATTCAAAGACAAGGTTCTTCTAGGCACTTGATGGCTCTTCTGAATAATGATGGATCAGTAGCAAAAGCTTGGCCAGTTTACACATTGGGCAATGATGGGAAGCCTAATATGGACCATTCCATTGCGAATGGAATAGGGACCCCTATGTATGGACCACTGCGGATTGGCAAGGCTGAACCTATTAATCTGCAATTTGGCCATTTCGGGATCAGTGCTTGGCCCAGTGATGTTGGTGGTACGAGTCATGCCAGTAGTGTTGATGAATCAAGAGGTGAGCTGACAGACAATGGCAGCAGGTACTACTCGTCTTGCTGCAGCTCACCAAGGTTTTCTGAAGGACATGCAAAGGAGGTATGCTTAGAAATCATGACGAGCTCTCATAAACTAATGTAGTCTGTCTTGGCGCCTTTGGTTGATGAAATTTGGAGCTTTTGTGTGTGTGTGTGTGTGTGTGTATATATATATATATCTTTTTGTATCGTCCATTTAGTTCGAGTAGTTAGTTGATGCATTCACGTTTTTCACCCTAATTACAGCTCAAAGAGGAACAATCAGTGCATGGTAGCGATGAAGAGGTTGACGAACCACTTGAAAGAGACAGTGATGAGGATCTTAGTGATGATGGGTCCAAACAAGTTGACGATGAGGTATGTGGGAATGACATATATTTAATGTCATTAAGAAGCTGCTAGATATAGTTGGTAGCATGTTATTTCTAGATGGGAGGAGGTCTAAACCAATTAATAAGATCACACATTTTGGTTTGCACAGTGAATATGCGACTATGTTCAGATCCTCTTTCTTGCTGAACCATCATGCCTTTCAGTTTCGTTTCCAAATATTGAATTTGAAGCACCCAGTTTTTTTTATTTTCAGGTAGCTCCTGGGGATTTTATTCTCTTTTGTTTCTTGTTTAATAGTCAACTTCTTTGTTGCTATGAACACAGGAAGGCTCAGTGGATGAGGAATCTACCAAATCAGACGAGGAGTATGATGATCTTGCCATGCAAGATATTGAAGAAGATGGTTATACGACTGATGTTAATGAAGAGCTACACAATAAGTTGGAGTTGAGTAATAAGGTCGTACCTGTTTCAGGGGAGCAGCTAACTGAAGGTATTGAGACGTATAGGAAGAGCATCGATCAGTCCTTCAGAAGT